AGGGTGTGTTGTGTATTGCGACTCAATTGGTATTTCCAAATCTACCAAAGGTCGGCAGTGTAATTTGGAAAATAGCAAGATGGACGATCTTATGCGAAGTTTGGAAAGAAAATAGAATGACTTTTACTGTAGATGTTCTTTCCTTTGATAGAGTTCTTAACAATATATATCATTGCCTTTGGAGTTGGTTGGCAGTCACTAAAGAAGGCTGCAGTATTTCGGAAGTGGATGTTATGCTTAACCTTCTACATTTGTTTCCTCTAGGTTGTTGTTAAATGTCAGATGAGAGGTAGATGGATACCTCGAATGCAAAGCTATTTTAAACTCAACTTTGATAGGAGCTCATTTGGTAATCCGAACGAAGCAGGCATAAGGGGAGTGGTTAGATATTGGAATGAAGCGGTAATTTTCTCTTATGCTTGCCCTATTGGCGCTGCTACTGCTAATGTTGCTGAATTCTCAACTCTCCTCCAAGGTTTAAAATTTTTTAAGAAAATTTTTTGGCGCTTTTTGCTCAGTTGAAGGTGATTCAATGAATGTCATTAAATGATGCAATAAGGAGCAAAGAGTGCCTTAGGAACTAAAATCAATTTGGTTACAAGCTCTTGATATGGCTGAATCTTTGAGTATCTCATATCACCATGTGTATAGGGAGGTAAATTCTCTTGCTGATTACCTTGAGAAAAGGGGTGTTTCTTTGTCTTCTCATTTGATTTATGAAGATATAATTCTCCTGTTGTAACTCCCTATTATTAATAAAGTTGTTAACATTTGTCAAAAAAAAGAAAAAGATTGATATGATCTAACTAAAAGAGCCTAAAGAGAGAGAAGATCGTGCCATCAAATTACGGGACATCTTATAGAAATTATATGATTAAGGAAAAGCTATGTATGTAGCTTGTAAAGATATGATAAATACATACTAGTCTAAAAGTATGTAGTATTTATATGGAGATCCTGCCCACCTAATTTTAAAAAAAATTTAACTTTGCCCTTGGACTGCTTATTAATTTTATTATTATTTTTTTTTGACTTTCATGCCGTGGTTATACGTCAAAAGATTGAACTGCCCCATAAACATCAAAACATCCTCCCCTTAAAAGGCCCATTATGATGAAGTCCGATGTTTGAAGCAATAAGACAGTTCAATAAAACTTTTTTTTTTCAAGTGGTCATATGTTTGAAATATCAAACCGCTTCTGCCCGAGACAAGCACACACATCAGCCACTTATATCGGCATGCTCGCAACCGCGTCATTACACTGATGACCGTGGTAATATGTTGTCATCAAGTAATAATCACAAAAAGATGGTCGAATTCTACTATCCGAACGCGTAAATCAGAATGGTTATAGATCAAAATCAAGTTTTAATTATCAAGCAATCCAACACTGACTATTAATGAAGACCATCCCATATGACAAGAAGAAGCATATAGAAAAAAAAAAAAGATACACGATACGACAAGAAGAAACATATAGAAAAAAAACACACCATATGACAAGATATAATATGACACATATATCTCCATTTCAATCAATTTGGGCCCAATGTTCTTGACTTCTTCCGACCACTTGGAAGCCTCCACACCAAGGTTTGGCACTTCTTTGGAATTTTCATAGGCTTTTGACCACTATTGTGGATTGTGATGCAACTACGAGGGAAAGCCATGACTAATCCATGCCATATCATTCCCTAACTATATTATACCTCATCTCATTTATTATTAGCATTCACATAATTATAATATATATATATATATATATATATATATATATATATAACTTTTATATTTGGTGCTTTTGCACCAGAATTTTGGAACCAGCTCCTTTATTTGGTTGGTTCATAGTCAAACTTATGTTTTTGTTGGCAGTTCAATATGGTGAACCCTTTTACTTTTGGTGATCTAGGCTTTCCCATATTAATTTATTCATATAAAAAAGCCATGTCGGCACATCAATTTTTGCAAGTGGAAAGGAAGAGGGGTTAACCATTAAACCATTGAGAGTGATATGACAACCATTATTCAACAATTCAACTGAAAGTTCAACCTATGTAGAGTCACCCTCAACTAAGGTCCAATAATCCTTATGGAAAGACCGTCTTAAAGATCTTCAATAAAGATAATTCTTTATGACCCTCAGCTAGGTTCAATCTAGTTTTGAGTTGATCTTGACCATCTTTGTTGTGTTCCTTTCTTCGAATAAATTTGAAGAGAACGATTAACTCATTCAGGCAAATGGAACAACCACTGGAGTTGTCAAAATCAGTTTCATATCACAAATGTCAAGCAAAGTGGTAACTCCTTAATAATCCAACAAGTGCAATAACTATCAGACAAAAAGAAAAGTCCAAGCTCAACTCTCTCATACACAACTTGTCTATCTCTTAGTGGGCCGGGTTTCTCTCTACAACCAAAAAAAAGAAAAAGAAGATGGATTCTCTGTTTAAGTGAATTGCTTCACTCTCTCACTCCTACATTTGAGACCCCACACCCCTCCTTTTTATATAGTGAGGGGGGGTCTCCACATTCCTCATTCATAAGGGTGTAACTCTCTCTTGAAAGGGACAACTCTCAGGATGCATTGTGCATACCACCATGAGGGTGGAACCTCCTTATGAAAGGGCATAACCCTCCTATGAAGAGGGTGTAACTCTCTCATGAAGATGGAGTAACCCTTTTAGCTTAAACCTTGGTTGTGATGCACCTCAAGCATACATCTCTCACTCATTCTAATGAAAGAATTTTCTTTCATAATTGCAATGGGAGAATTTTTTTCATAAAAAGGCTAAAAACAATGTGCGGCCTACTAAAGCTATCATTATATTAAATAAAACCATCAAGTTTCCAACTAGCTAGCATGGAGCACCTTATCTCTGGTATCTACAAAAGGAAAACAAAAATAGATAATATTTGTCAGGCCTGATTTGGTCGTGCAAGACTGAGTTCTCAATAATATCTCATCAGCTAGACTTGGAAGATTACTTAGCCCGTTCATACACAATTATTCACAAGGTCCACGTTGTATGTATTGTTTACTTCTTGTAGCAAAACGTAGCATAATGTCAAACATTATCTCTTACGACCTACATTACACCATTATGAATTGATTATTGTCCCAACAATGCCCTAGACAATTCTCATATTTGACCCTAAGGAGCACGTACCAAATTCAATGATTTGAGCAAAGTTTCCTCATGTAGTCTAAGTTCTATGAAGGCACCATGATCACCCCCTAACATGTGCTTGAGTAGTAGCGAAAAGGACAAAGGGTAATCTTTTCCCATAGTTGTTTTTGGTTGCTATTATAGTACATGTGATATGAATCACACATCACGATGGATCACTCAAAATGTGCATCAGACTCCACAACAATTAGGTTATAGTCTCTTCAAAACCATAAGACCAATCACCATCTAAGTTCCCAATAGTCACATCTATGCGTCATTCTAAACATCCCTAATGCCCAGTTATTATATGATCTAGGGACATCAATTTAAATAGATCATATCATCTATAACCTTATGAAATCTCATCTATAACCTTGCAGCATATTATCTAGACCATTTATTTTCAAAAATTTCAAGTATCTATAGACTCTTCAATCTATAACTTTTTTCGAGCTTTAAATTAAGGGTGGACACGGATTTTCAGCCTAGATAAGTGTTTCTGGCACCATAACTGCATCATGCAACAAAAATTGAGAGTGCACCTTACGTTGATTCTTTAAATTGAGACTACACTCACTATAATAAATAGGGTCATAAAATCGTGTCATGAAAACTCATAGGCTCATGAGGCTCATAGTTCTTTCATGAGTTTGATATGCTGCATTTGACAATTACTTTAGTGAAAGGGTCTGCAACCTTTCCATTATAGGTGTATGAGTTAACACCACTTACTATATATCATATTATTTTAAATATAGTGATATATCTAATATTAATGTGCTCTAACATGCTGTGGTACTTGGGGTCTTTTGTGTAAGAAAGTGCCACCATGTTATCTCGAAATATACTGACAGGCTCATGAATAGTTGTGACAAAACTTTTAAAGTTCTAGAAATCTCCTCGACCACAGGACTTCTTGCATTGAAGAATTGAGAACATTGTATTCCAACTCCATCATAGAGATAGTCACACATGACTACTTCTTACTACACTATACGAACACTACCTCTTAACAAGAGAACCTGAAGTCCAATTGCTCTTCTAGATCTGCCTCCCAATCAGCATTACTCTGTCTATGTAACGACAACTTAGTTCCTTGGAAACACAGTTGAATCGTGCCCCGAAGGTATTGAAAAACCTCTTTTGTACTTGAAGGTATGAGAGCCTTTATCTCGACGTCTCTGCAATGAATATGTTCTCATTGATTCATTTAAGGTTCTTGTATAACTGATGACTCACTCAGTCTAACATGGTTGGTGGCTCCATCTGGACCGTTTGCACACTCTTAGCCGAAGGTTTACTCCGACTATCTTTGACAACCATGGAAAAGTACTCACAAATAAGCATTCTCACCCTCAATTTATGCGAAGAACCTTAACTCTCTTATGCCTTTAACTTTATTTTTATTTTTCTGGTTACTTATTTTTCTTTCACCTTCCTCCCTACATCACTAAAAAATCTTAAGAAGTTGACGTATATCCTTTATCCTGAAAAGAAGGGAATCCATTACACTATATTGCTTTAAACACCTTTAAACACCTTTTCTGTAAAGGTGGCACACCCTGCATTCTATCTAGTGCATAGGGCCTCCTTCTATTCTTGTGATAGGAACATGCCCCTTAACTATAACTTTCAATATTGTATGGATTAAAAATAATTTATGTATTAAAAAGTGCTTTCATTTTGAGGATCGCAGGAGAAAACCCCTTCTTAGTAGCTTTAATCCCAACTAAAATGTGGATCGAACAATTAGCTCATTTGGCAACTTTTTTGTGCATTCTCAGTTTAACCACAGCTCGCAAATTGCTTTAGTTTTACATAAATCGTTGTTGCTATAATATTAGAGTCTGATTATCATTTCCAGCTAAAATATGATGAGTTGTATCCTGTTCGACCAATCTCCTATGACCATGAAATTAAGAGCTAAGTCGAAGAGGTCGACAGATAAGAAATAAAAAGAAAAAAATTAGAAGCAATATGAAGATATTGCACAAAGTGTGAATTTTATGACCATTGTGTATAAATAATACAAAAAAGATAGGAAAACTTTCTGGCATTCTCCAAATTAGAAGAACACCAGTTTCCTGACCACTTGTATTTCGAGCTCTACCACGTGATAACGAATGAATACAAAGTGAATCAGATGCCCATTCAACATTTGCAATCCCATGTGACATGGCCCTCAGCATCGGATGTGATCAGTTGATGATGGATGAGTGCGCGCAACTTGGTCATGGTGGATAAACAAAGGGAGTTCAACGAAAAGACTTCCCCTCACTAGCTTTGATAAGAGCTTCAGAGTTGCTCCCAAGAGATCACGCTTATATAGGGCTCAAGTTTGATGAGAATCCATTAGCATTCTGGGTCTCCAGCTCAAGAAGCATCAACGACTTTTGTCTTTGGTACCTGTTTCTCTTTGCTGCAAGTGCTGTAATGAAATCATGTTATGGGTCAGTTGAAAGATTAGCATGTCATAAAGTAATCACAATTATATATTACAAAAAAATGCCATCTTAATACTAATAGATATGATTAATATAATTGTGCAAAGATAAAATTTATTGTCTATTCTAAACTACTTATTTGATTCTGAAGAGATTGAATTCCTCTTCGTACAAAAGATGATGACTTATTGAATGGAAGCCAGACTTGGATCCAGACTCAATGTTGGGGTTTTCCATTCACCTTTTTCTGTTTTATAAACTTCACCACTACTACAGAGGCCACACCTCTTCTATCTCATCTCCAAACTCCAAATGTTCCTATACATTATATCACACCAATCATGTGTGTGCTTTATAAACACAGCTTGTATTTCTGCATGCAGTCATCCTCCTCTCATTCTATTTTCAATATACGTAACCGTGAAAGCAAAAAGAAATGAAAGAATAAAACCAGGAACTTCACAAAAGATTTTAATGAAAAAGAAAATCAAGAAACTCCTAGTCCTATATCAATATATCAGGACAGAGCAATATTCTACAGTTTTATGCACTTAATTTGATACTTCGTTTCTTTTCTCCTATACGCTTGCCCTATGCCCAGACACCTAGTTCACTACACAGGCTATGCACCATACTCCTAGTGCTTTGTCTGGAGCGGATACTCTTGGTGCTTTGTCCGAAATGGCTGTGCTTAATACAATGATCACTGCCATTGTGCTACATTTTCTACATTTCATGAAATTGACCTCATATTTTGGTCTTTCCACCTCAAAGGACGCATCTCGTCTCTTCTTTCTCTGCAAAACAAAGATGTATCTCGTCTCTTTTCTGCAACTAGAGCAACTTGCCTGACAACTTTGAGGCAAGTGTATCCCACATACAGAAAACAATTGGAACGTCAAATTCTATGCGTCCAATCATATGATTCTGCCTGCTCATAAGAAATGTTTCATCAAAAGCTCATTATTGGATCATTTTGTTTGGTTATGTTTATAGAGTAGATTTCATCTGTGAAGTGTCAACATGAATACTTAGGTATCGCAAAAGAATACGACAAATTGTTTTGTGCAAATTCACATACAAGTGCAATCAAACAAACATTTGGTCTTTGTGAGTGAATTAGCAAACACGTTGGTCAAGTATTTTTGCTGACCTGTAGCTGCATTTGACACACATACACATGCATTAACGTGAGAAGTGTCCATATGAATCCTTCAGTCTTGAAAAAGAAAATAAGTTTGCAAGGTTCCTTTTAGCAAGAGATTCTTCAGGCATATGTTTCACAAGGGAATAAATCCGGCTCTTCATCAAGAAGCTTCCATGGAAATTCAGAGTTTTTTTTCCTTCTTTTTTTGTTCTTTCTGTTTTTTTTGGGTTTGTGTGTGTGTGTCTGTGTGATAAGTACCATGGATATTAAGAGCTATAAAGCTTAGTTTGCAGCCAAGGACTTCAATCAAATCCAAGGTGCAACCTTCATGGAGTATTCACTCCTGTTGGCCATGAAGAAGCCTACAATAGCCAGGTTCCCCATTGTAACTGATATGAATAAGGCACTACAATGTTAGTTCGTTAAAAAGAACAGTTTTTTAGGGGGTTTCAGAAGAGGAAGTTAGATGTTTGGCTCCACGTAGTGATATACAATAGGGAGAAAGTAAAAGTGTGAAATCTAAAGGACATCATAGAGTAATGACGTTAGGGCATGCTAAAAAGATTTGGTGGAGCATGGATAGAAATTTGGTTTTCAAGATGTGAAACTATATTATATTTAAAAAGGTCTAAAAAAATACAATTCTCTTAGTTTTATGGATCACATACCCACCAGAGGATTGGCAAAGACAAGAAGGGATAGAATTCGGAATGAATACATTTGGAAGAATTTAGGTGTGGCACCAATAGGCGAGAAGATGAGAAAAAGTTGACTTAGGTGGGCTGGTCATGTGTGGTACAAACCCAGTACAACACATCTTAGGAGGTATGAGTTAGTTCAAGTGGATGGCTTAAAAAGGACAAATAGTAGGCCCAAAAGGACAAGGTCGGAAGTAGTGAGATTTATAGTCTCAATGAGAGTATGACCCTTAATAGAGCAGAATGGCGGACCAAGATTCGTGTAACTGATCCTAATTAGTTGGGAAAAGGCTCTGACAATGATAATGATGATGACATACTCACCAAAGATGAACCGGAGTGTATTACAAGCACTATGGTAGTTGGCAATAAAGTTCCCAGTCCCCTTTGACTACTATCTAGCCATAAAAGTTGCTTCTCTCGATGGTGAATTTTCATCTATAAACAGAAATACATCACGTAACTCCCATAGGCCACAAGAATTGGAACAAAAACTAATAGACTCTCAAGAAGTCACTCCCTTATTAAGCTTAACCATCATCTAAGCTCAGATTAGGGCCTCCTGAGTTACCCAAGTGCAATGCAGAGACTGGTTGGAAAGTTTCACCACCTCAGGACTCATTAGACGTGACTTAGCATTCCATTATTAATATCATCTTCAGAGCCTTTTCCCCAACTATTTGGGGTCAGCTACAAGAATCCCGGTTTGCCATGTTGCTATGTCAAGGACCATACCCTTAGTAAGGCCATCAGTCCCCATATCTTTTCTCACTACTTCCAATCATATTTTTTTGGGCCTACCGCTTGCCATTTTTTAGCCTTCCACTTGAACCAACTCCATCTCCTAACATGTGCTCTAGGTCTGTATTGTATATGGCCAACCCACCTAAGTCTACTTTCTCTCATCTTATCGCTTATTGGAGCCACACCTAAATTTTTCCGAATGTATTCATTTCGAATTTTATTCCTTCTTATCTTGCCACTCAACATCCTCATCTCAGGTACACTCATCCTATGGCTATGTTGTTTCTTGATCGCACAACATTCCGCCCCATAAAGCAAAGCTGATACGTGACTTAGCATATGTGGTTGCCAAAGTAAGTCTGTTCATGCATTCCCTAGATGCCTCACTTGGAAGTTCTACATTGGACCTTGAGATTTTTATAGTTACCCAAACCACATACCGAGGTCGCGATTCCCATTCAGAATTGCGATGCAACAGTTCCCAAGATAAAACACGAGTTTGGAAGATATGAATCACGTTTCCGAATTTCATGGAACACGTTACCTGAATCTCGATTCTTGGAAGGTTGGAATCTAAATTCCATATCACGTAATATGCGATTTATAATTGCACAACAATGCGATTCAATCTGTGTGAGACTTTGATTCTAATTTTCTAAGAATCGCGAAATCATGTTGTTTGGAAGCGAGTTCCACATCATCAAAAGTCGCAGTTCTTAGATGCACCGAACAATGTTTCGATCAACATCGAATCAAGTTCTAATGACACAGAATCAATATTCAAATACAAATGTTGAATGAAATACGTTCACAAATTGTATGTTGCGGGAGGAGCTCAAGGAACTGATTATATGTTACCAAAGGAGTTCCAGGAACCATTTCATATCATGTTATAATTTTGTACAAGGTTAAATACCCATGATTTGGGTTTCAAGATTGTGATATTGCGAGTCAAAAAGCCTTAATAAACTTTCGAGATGAATCCATGTACAATAATCTCTGCCAAGTTACCCAACAGATTTATCAATCTATAAATCACGAAGTGGGTGGCAGTCCCACCTCAAGGTAAGACGTTTGGGTTACAGCCCCACCTCAAGGTAAGATGTTCATATCGGATGCTTGCAATAACCAAATGTTTATTATCGATCATTTACTGTATCAAGTAAAGGATTATGTGGGGCTGGTAAGTGATTAATAAAAGGGTGCGGTTTGAATAGAGCCTAGGCTCTAAACAATCAAATTAGAGCCAACCTTCAAATAGTGTCAAGAAATGTGGTTTCAATACTGGAAATCATTGTGATAGCCTTAAAATATATTTTAATATTAATTTGTAAAGTTTAAAGCTTCAAAAATATTGTAGATCGACAGATCTAAGAAAACTATTTTGAAAATTGATGGTCCAAAATAGTTTTACAAAAATACACTATTTCCAAAACCTGAAATCCTTTTTTTTCTCATGTCCATGCATCTTGATGCCGAGATAATCAATTTGAGGATATTTGAGCATCAAAATAACCTCATCTAGCGAATTTTTGAGGTAGGCTCAAATTTGATTGTTTTGAGCCTCGGCTCTATATAAACTTTTCCCTTAATAAAATGCTTATTAATGATCATTTACAATACTAAGTAAAATTCTTATCACTTGTTGTCTCATTGTATATTTGGCAGGGCATGGACTTAAAGCCCTAACAGAAAAAAAAGAAAAAAAGAAAAAGAAATGGGTTAACAAAGATCAAAATTCATGGCCACTTGCAATCTTTGGATTTCGAGCAAAATGCAACATCTTGGTCATTCAAGCTAATACCAAGCTATGGTAACATCTATGGTATCTGCTTGATTTTACATAGATAATTTGGGTCAAGCTATAGTATCATCTATGTCTATCCCAATCATCTATGTAAAACTTTAAATCTTCTCGCAAAATACTTATCTCTTATACCAGAGGGGATGGGTGCACGATTCCTTAATTATGGGAACCTCGATTCCAAATTGACGCGGACAATGATTCCAGGTAATGTAGGAATCACAATTCCTATTTCGCTGGATCACGATTCCCGAAGTCATTGAATTGTGTGGGGTCGGTCATGTGTGATTCCTATAAGGTAGGAGACTCAATTCCAACATGATGGGATATTGATTCCTACAAATAAGAATCAAGGTTCCTATTTTATTGGATCGTGATTCCGAGTAATGAGAATCACGCCTCCGATGTTTTCCATTGTACGGACAATGATTCCGAGATGAGGAATCACCTGGCACATGCGCTTCCGTGATTCTGATATGTGAAATGAATCGAAATCATAGGTGTTTCCAACAACTATAAGATTTTTCATGTCCATTTAATGAGTACTCTTCTCATCACATGGATATCTACAAATTTATGCATAGAGAGATTCATCTTTATGTAAAGCATTCTATAATGCTGATTGTGCTACCTCAAGAAGTTCACAACTGGTATTGCAAGTTAGTCGTATCTTGTAACATGGACAGCAAAAAGCAGCATGTGGTTCAAAGATAAGCAAAGAGGCATATAATAAGCCATGCTTATACTGCCTATGAGCTAACCTGGCCGAATAACCTTTCCTCCCCCCACCTCCCACGAATATAAGGTTGAAGAACCTTCTTGCTAGGATAATATTTGAGGTCCACTCATGGTCATGGATAACTTGGGACTAAGCAGCAATGCATGCATACTTGTAATCGAGGCTTTCAAGAGGTCAATATCATGACTTTGTGAGACAAAAATAAGGCCAAAGAGATGTCAGATTTGTTCTCTGTATGCAGAGACCTAAGATCAACTAGCAGAAATATTTACCACAACATTTAGGAAGAGTAGATTTTAGAATTCAGAGCATTCTTGAGATTGTTGACAAGATCGGCATGACATAAGCATTAGCATGAAGAGGATGTTCGTGTACATAAATATGCATGGATCATGTAAACTAAAGATATATTTATCACCTTATATGCATTTTTAATAGGGTCTCATACCTTACCATTCAAGGGTATTATTGTTTGTTCATTTCATGTGGCTTTATGTTTAAAGGTGAAACGACCAAAGGGAGGCATAACATTTCTCCCAAAATCCCAAAACTCTTGACACAACCTATGGTTTTGAGCAATCCTATTGAAAAACAAATCTTGCTCTCAAGACACCTTAAAAGATGTTAGTCCACAAAATATGTGATGGTGGTACAAACCATAAATTTGAAACCTAACTAAGACAAAGGGTCTGAGTTTCCAGAGTAGGTGGGACATCCCTACCGGTGAGCAAAACCCTCAACATTACCATCTGCAACACAGGGTAGTCCCCTTCTTCTTATTCTGCTATTTTTATCGTATTTTCTTCTCACCACTGGAAGAAAATTCTTGTCACCATTGGAAGCGCCTAAAGAAGCAGCCTCCTCTGGTGGTAGCATATAAAGATGGGAAGAACTTGGGGCAATGCACAACGCATGGTGTCAGTTTTACTATCAAACAAATATACAAATTAAGATTAAACCTGAACACTCTTATAGTAAATCTTTTGATATAAATACACCAAAAATGGATAAATGGAAATCTAATACATGTAAGCAGATATGCAGAAAATCTAGTGAATTATACGTCATACTATCAATGTCTTTCAGTATCCTAATACTATTAAATATTTTCAAACTATCAAAGTCTTTCAGTATCCTAATAATATTAAATATTTTTCAAATTCACATATCTAGACCCAGTGGTATGTAGCATTTTACAAATAATTGGGGACATCAAATATAACATCTAGGGATATGCTCACATCCTTGATAATTTCCAGCGATGAAGCGCACTTTAATGCAGGTCACTCTACTAGTTTGTAACTCATCAAATTAACCACAAGATCCTATACAAAAATGGATCATTTCATAGTACTAAGTACAAATAAATGTGAATCGCCTTAAGAAGCTATTTGAGGCAATGTCGTAACTCTGTCTAACATCCTTATAACGAACATCCATATTTAATGCAGGTCACTCTACTAGTTTGTAACTCATCAAATTAACCACAAGATCCTATACAAAAATGGATCATTTCATAGTACTAAGAACAAAGAAATGTGAATCCCCTTAAGAAGCTATTTGAGGCAATGTTGTAACTCTGTCCAACATCATTATACCGAACATCCATATTTTCCATGGTTTTCATGTTCTTCATTGATACTACGATGATCTAGAATTACCAAAACACTTCATGGCATGACATTATAACATTGCATAGGATCAATTTGTTCCATGAAATAAGTCATTCCATCATAGAAACTAAAAGAACTAATTTCCAAAGATATAATTTCATAGGAAATATACGTACAGATCAAATCATGGGGAAGACCAAAGTCATAATCATTTCTCCCTTTTCTGATGCAGAACATGTATATCAGCAGTAGTATTATACAGATGACCATCACACATGACAGGCCTATGGCGAGCTTAGCAGCAGTTGACAAACCACCCTTTTCCCAAAAGAATGGACAGGCTGGATAGGAAGGCACACCACACAGCCCTTTGTTTCCAGAAAGGCTGGAACAAATACAGAATACAGGTTGAGAAGCAAGAAAAGACGAACCTAAAGACGATAGTAAAAATATATGAATGGAAAAAAAATGATAAAATCTATTAAAAGAAAAAATCATGTCGACAATGCATGTGCATTTGTGCTTAATATAAGCGGGCCTCAAGACCAAAAGTTGAATGAATATGATGAATCAGACCATGTCATGCCAGATCCACGAGGAATAAGAAGGAAGCACATTTGGCCGCTGACTTTCTTAACTATTCACTCAGTGCTTTTAATTCTGCCACCCAGAATATAGGTGGCGACACAAACATTACAATTGAATTGGCTAAAATGATGCTGAGCGGATCATCACAAAAGTGAGTTATCAATTGTACTCCCTGAAGGAAAACATCCACATGCAAGAGAATAAACAATAGTAAGATTTCTTTCCTTGTAGGATCTTTAAAAGAAAAGAAATGGATTACACGCATTTGGGGTGATTTGAAGTTTGAAAGGTATGATTAAGTCTCGAGTTCCCCCATGCTTTCATTACTGAAGTTTCATGCAACAAAATTGACTACTTTATGAGATCAAGGGTTTTCCTTCAACCTCTTTCTCATGGTTGCAATATGGATATAGTTGTCATTTATTAAAGGTTTGGTTCAACGCTTTGGGGTCTACCACTCCGACAACACTTAAAATTTATAAGAGATTTCTCTCAGAAAAAAAGCATTTAGATTGTACAGCTTTTCTTAGATTCTTCAACAAACCCTATAGTTTTTACTGTGGGTATTCATACTCAAGCAGTGACTATCATATAAAAAGGCCAAAATATCTTTATGGTTCCTTCTTTCTTTTATTTTAGTTCAGTGGTAGGAATGGAATTCCAGGCATCAGGTTGTGCATCCACCACTCTGACCACCCAAGCCTAGAGGCCACTCCTATCATTATGGTCATTTATCAAACAGAAATTAACATTTGGAAGTAATTATGGCACTTGTAAAAATTATAATCTACATCCCAAGACTAAAATTGAACCACTTGCAAAAATTATAATCTACATCCCAAGTACTAAAATTGAAGCAATCAAATCCAAAAATGTTACAATCCAGTATGTTAAGTTCAAAGATCAACAAATATATGCGAGGATTAAGAAAAAAAGAAACACAAAAAAGTGGAAACTAAGAGAAATACCCTCTTTGGGTCAGTATTGGAGTCCATCACAAATTTGATAGATACGATTGTCTCTTTAGGCCCACAAAAGAACCACCCTAAGGGATATCTTCACAAGACCCAAAACCAATTCTTCTTTTTTATCTTCTTTCCACACAATAGTTCATATAATGATAGATGAATATCCTACAACCTAAAAATTCTAAAAATAAAGGACATAATAGCCATTAGAAAATTTACAACACTAAATTGCCTTAAGTACCCCTAAAATATTTTACAAAATTAAAAGGAACAAGCACCCCCTAAAATTCTCTGTAAATAGACCAAGTTGACCCTAATTTCAGTTCTATACAGACCGAACTTTTCATGCTCTTCTACTCCGTTCCAAAGGGATAATCTTCACTTTTTTTGAGTCAAACTTTCAAAGGATGAAATAGATTCACAATGTTGTAGCATGCCAATTTAGTGAGGTAATCCTCTAAAGTCAACCATGAAGCCAATATCTCTTGCACTCTCCATCCCTTGTACTTCATGCTTACAGCCAAATCGATTACCTGAGTTTGTGGTGAAGTTTGATTCATGCTTGGATTAGAGGTCAGAACTTCCATGTCATCATGGAATTCTTTTTCCGTGTGCCGCTTCAATAGATCAATTATTTCATGCATGCCTCTTTAAAATTCCTTGAATATTTCATCTACGTACACCGAGAATGGATATGTCTTGTCTACATTAAGAGGATATAGCATTGGTGGAATCATGTTGTAGGGAGTAAACTACTGCAGCATCAAAATAAAAAAAGAAAATTAAAAAAATATGAAACATTAAGTTGAGAGAAAATAGCCTTTATGGGGTTACAGGGGAGTCCAAACTAAATTTGAGAGATATGTTCTCTACTTAGGCCTGCAAAGTAATCCACCCTAGGTGATGCCCTGACAAGACCCAAAACAAGTGTTTTTCTTCTCCCTAGGCCTGGAAATGGTCATGTGGGCCATGCCAAGGTTGGCCAAGGACCCTTGAGGCCCAATCTGACCCTATTATTGGCTGCCAGCCATTAATTTACTTTTTAAGTTTGAGATAACCATTTTAGAAAGTGGATTGAAGGGAACTTGAACTTGAGTAACAACAATTAGCATGTTTGTGTCATAGATGCAGGGAGGTTCGTTGCGGGTGGCGATCCACCTTGGAATCTCAGTTTGGCAATTCTGGAGCATGATTTGGAGCCCGAGATGAGCTCACTTGCCCTGACAAGGGAGCAGCTATATCCTTATCTTTTATGGATCTGGATCCTTGACTAAAAGGGATCTGGATTGCTTTGAAAGGGAACCTCGACCCCACTGACAATGGGGTGTGATCATGATTTGATGGGATCTCGATCCTGGGGTAAGTTTCATAAGTTTTTGAATTTTGAATCCTATGTCTTAGATTTTGTGATTTTTTTTAGCTTTCTGACAATTTTCTATCTAACTATGGTCATGGTTTGCATAAGTGGTGGAAAACTTGGATCCAAGAGGCTCCCAGGTCCTAAAGGGTCCCGAAGAGGGGAATTTCCAGGGTAGTACAGAACTAGATAGTTCTCATTATAGTGAATCTCTGTCTTGCCTAGTTCGCTATAGGGACTTTGGCGATTCCTAAGTTTGGTTCTTAACATGGCCCTCCAATTTCACTTTTTTAAGTTGTTTATGAGGGAATTTGCTTTCAGACACTTAGAGTTCTCATAGTGCATGTTTGTAGATAATACTAAAATGTGGATTTTATATTTTTAATTTTTTAAATCACTGTCGCTCCCCACAACTATGTTTGCATATTAACCATCAAATCCCTAGAGTACTACTAGTAAACTATTTTACTTCTAGAATATATCATACATAAATATCTATACATAAATGTATTAGAATCTCTCTCTCTCTCTTCTCTCTCTCTCTTCTCTCTCTCTCTCTCTCTCTCTCTCTCTCTCTCCATCGATTGGCTAGGGTGGCAAGCCCATTGCCAGTCCTTTAGAGTTGGTTTTGTTTGGAGATAGATAGATAGATAGATTGATATAGAGAGAAAGAGAGAGAGGCTTTTTGCATTATACGAAGATTGGATTTTGTGTAAGAGAGGAAGAGAGATTTTGGTGTTTTAAGAGAGAGAGAGCTCCAATTTCATATATGTCATTTTATATCTTGTTTTTTTGATAGTTTATGTGATAGAAATATGCATGAAACATCATATCTGCTGTATAATTTAGTGGTAAAATAACTAAATAAGATATAATTATTGGGTTGGGACATTGGTAGGCATGCATGATAGTCACCATTACTCAAGCTCGAGTCCTATCATCTTTTTTTTTAAAAGAAAAAATGAAATTAGGCCAGGCTTAGCGGGCCATGTACTCCTGGCCCTGGCCCGAGCCTAGGCTCATCCTACCACTAGCCCTTGATTTGAGGCCCAAGGTCAGCATGCCGGTCACATTCTCGGCCCAGTTTTACAAGCAGGGCCAGCCATCCATTGGTTGACTCTCCATCTCCCTACAGTAGTTCATATTTTTATGGAGAAAAATCCTAAAACCCAAAACACTCTAAAATAATAGGGATATAATTGCCCTTAGCATCTCTACAATACTAGATGACTTGGGAAACTTTAAATCTTTAAAAAATCAAAAGCCACACATATGCCTAAATCTCTACAAAAAAGGGTCCAAATTGACCCGAATCTCAAAATAAGTCCTAACTACATTAACATATCAAACAACATTGAATTCTAAAACAGATTGTTAATTCAGGGGAGCTATTAAAGTTAATAACAAAATCTACTAAACCTACTCTAGATGGAGTATGGGCATTATCTTCAACCCCATATATTGAAATTCATGCAGCTGGATTTTACATGTTAAAACAGAGCTTGAAGAAGTTAGCTCATAGGATAAAGGCCATGTGTGCTTGTGTGAATATATATCATATAAAAATCCATAATTCCATATTTTGTTCATATTTCACTACTTTTTAAATTCATATTGTTTTATATGTACAAGTATCCTAGGAATATTCACTATAAGATTGGTGTTGTATAATTTTGTCACTGATGCATTCGGCATGTACAAGTAACTTGGTTTCAAAGCTACAATCCGTTTCATTCCGCTTGCAATTAGTACAGTGAGCTCATGGTGTGTGTCATCACTAATTTAGGCCATAATTGAATCACCAACTCTATACAAGCATGGTAGCCCAAAATTGGAAGGCCATGTGAGTGAAAGCACATTTGCCTTGAATAACTATCATGGGATAAGGGTGACATGATGCTCATTTTAGTTGTGGAAGAGAGGATCAGGTACGATGTTGATAAACTTTTTGATGTATAACTCCTAGAAACTGTACAACAGTCAACATAGCAGCATTAACGTGTCAGAGCACATTAAGAGTTCTCGGTTGATGATGAGGTGGGAGATATTGGTGCAGAAAATGCTGCATACGTGGACATAGTGTAAGAAGCCAAGACACTTCTTACCTGGTCAAAGAAAAACCAGGACTCATTCACGTCTTGCTGAGTCAAAGAAATCAAAGCAAAGTCATCTAAAAAAAGAAGATTTTTAATTAAATTACCTAAGCATATTACTTATAAAAACTAACATAAAATCCTAAAAACTAACATAAAATCCTAGAAAATGATGATGATAATTATGGAGGTGATGCCGATGGCGAAGGCAGGAACCAGAGGGCAATGGATGGGGCAAATGGAACTATTTGTTCAACACAGGTGACTTTAGCATGGTCGCACTGGGGGTCACAAATCCTTTTACTATCAGGGTACTATACTATGACAAACAAGCTTAGGATTTTGATACCCATGGTCTGCATGGCAAAGTATGGCACCA